ATTGACGCCGACCGTTCGTCGGCGCAAACAATCATCTTATGGATGCCGTGATGCCATCCAGCATCCTCGCATCTTGGAGGTGGTCCAGAGCTTCCTCTAACCACCCTTAAGAAGACAGAGGAGATGGCTGTTGCCACGCGCCTCCAGTTATCCCTGGATATGGCGCCATCCTCCCTGCTTCTATCAATGTCCCCCAGGGTAATTGATCCCGCCTGCTTAGCGATTTCGCTAAACAGGGCAGGTGCACCCCCAGTTCTAGGTCTCTTTGCCCCGGAGACCTCTTGAGACCTCTGTCTCTTAGGAGCTGCAGAGATGCACTCGCATCTCCTTTGGTCGGACCCTTTGAACCGCCATCCAGACCACGTAGCACCCCTTTGGCCCACTCGAGCGTTTTAGCATGCTTCTCAGACAGCTGAGAAACATCCTGACCACCGTAGCGTGCCAAAATCTTGGTTGCCATGCGTCTGCCTTGCGACCCGACGAAGCCTGCCGTTTGGGCTTTCCAGGAGGCTGCTTTTGGGGAGCCCTCGAGGACGCACCAGGAAACCTAGGTAAGGAGCCCGAACTGGTGCTGGCGATTCCGTGAAGCACCCCCTTAACCGCTCACTCACCCCTGCCCCCTGCGTAAAAACCATAGGTGAGGAGCCCGAACTGGTGCTGGCGATTCCGTCAAGCACCCCCCTTAACCGCTCACTCACCCCTGCCCCCTGCCTAAAGACCCACGCGAAGCCGGTTCCAGCACTCCTGCTCTCCCTGTTGTGACAGCACCTGCCCCCAGAAACAGTTACGTGCGTCGGTTCCGACGCGCTATTGCCTCCCGAAAGACTTCCCGTTAAGGACCCCCCAGGAATACGATCGATACCTTATGGGGTCATGAATTCAGAGCCGACCAGCGCAAAAACGGGAGTCATCTCAATCGTACCTACACCACCAACTTAACGGCGACGGGAGTTGGAACGTACTCTGAGGCCTGCCAGGGTTTTAACGGGACGGGGGCAGTTACAACATTAGCCCACCAGCCATTTCTGCTGAGTGTAACCTCAACATACTCAGGTGGTAGAATACCACAACCACCAGCTCAGGGAGCAACAAATCCAAAACGTTTTTCACAATCATAGTCAGAGGACGAAGCCAAGGTCGTTGCCGTTCAGGTTTAGAGGCCGTGAAGGCCGCAGGCCATTTGGCATTACCCAGGGTGCACCACGCGGAGGCGACCTGCTCTACACCCCCCAATAAGGGGTATAATATAATAATAATATATAAATGTATTTATATAAAGATATAACTTTTGAGTTATTCTTAAATAACATTTAAAAATGTATGTATATATCAGACAACAGCATGAGTTTACTCATTTCCATCTAAATAGTATGAACTCATTGCTGTGAACTGTATAAGGGTAGTGAGAAACATCGTACAAACAGTGAGATTCATAGTTAGTTTTGAAATCAATGTTTAGCTGCATTGTACTCATTTGATTCTAAATATGGCATTGATATACTCTTTCCAAATCAAGTCAAGCGAGTGAAAGACGCTGTTATGAAAAGCAAGTCAAGCAATCGAATGACACTCATTGACTTCAAACAATTAGTAGAGAATACGATAATTTAAAAAAAAAATGGATTTATGATGAATTATTTTTTTAAATATATTAGTTTTACTAAAGTATTTAATTATCCACCTTACATTTATATAACTACTAGTCTGCAAAAGAAATGCATACCTCAGAAGACATCGGCTTTATAATAGACTTGGAAAATAAGTTGCTTTGTTATTTAAAAACAGTTGCTGTTGACAACTTAACAGATTTGCACAAAATTGCGCTTTTCTATACCCAGCAAAAGAGATCAAGAACTTTACCGAATCTGAGCAAAGGTACTCAAGAGACAAATGTTTACAAATTATGAGAACGTTAACTGAGAATTCTGACAGTACAAAAGAACCACAAATTGGGGACACACCTTTGTTACCTTCAGATAACTTTGAGTTGTTTTCTGGTCTTCTTTAACATCCTACCTTTGTGAGCAGAACTCATAAAGCTACTGCAGAGCTGCGGCGATATGAAAATATTTAGGTATATTTTCATACGGACTTCGATATAATTAATTGGTGGGAGGTACACAGATGCGAAATGCCGCTGCTGCATAAACTCAGTCGTAGAGTAATAGCCACTCCTTCAAGTAGCACATCGTCAGAAAGAGTTGTTTCTTCTGCTGGAAATGTTATTTCTGACAAAAGATGCCACCTTTTGTCAAATTATGATGCCCTTAATCAGTTGATATTAGTGCATTATAATATGCAGTTAGAAAACCAATAAAATTTACAAAAATTGTCTTTACAAAATTTACAGTTATGGCATGCACTTGTTTTTCCAATCAAGCACTTGATATTTGAATCGAGCACTTGAAAGGGTGAATTACTCCCTCAATTGACAATGTTTTGTCAATGCTATCGCACGTTATGTTGGAAATAAATGGGCGCGAGTGTGTGCAGATGTGAAAAGAAAGGGAGTGACTTAAAATGTATTTTGAGTGTATCCATGCAGCTCTCTGGTATATATATGTATTAAACTTCTGCGCAATTCCATTTAAATGGCCTAACAAGACATCCGATCGCCGCGCAAATACTTTCCCTCCTTGACTCTCATCGTTCGGGTCAAGTGTGAGCAAGCATAAACCAGTTTCTGCAAGCGTAAGTAACCCTGCAAAAATCGTTGGACCATGTAGTCTATTTGTGGTAAATTGAAGTATTCTGTCATGCTGTAGCGGACCAACTCGTGTCTCTGCGCCAGCTTATTGTTTGTTATCCGATAACTGCTCGTGTTTTAACGAAACGTGATTGAAGTTGAGCATTTGAAAGCACATTTGCATGTCTGGCTGTAGCTGAACGTGTAGAGATGCTCGCTGTTAGTTCTTAGCTCCCAGCATGTTCGGGGTCGAATGCCGTCAGAGGCAACATGTAATTTTTAATTTTTGTCTTGGTTTTTATTAATTTTGAAAAAGCATTTGAGAAGTGAAGAACAAAAGCGTGTACAAACGAAAAAATATAACAACAATGCCATTCTAAATATGTTGGGTAGTTTTGTGCTACTCTGATGTAATGCAGGGATGGAGTATATGGTCCTGCCCTAGGACATCACAATGTTAATTGGACCATATTTTTTATATGAATTGTGGTTAATTTTGGAGTACTCCTTAGTCCTTAGGGATTACTCTTTACACGCATGCATGGAGTAGTCGCGATTTTTGCAGGGTAATACCACTTTTGATCTCTTTATATGGACGATAGGCCAGCCCGAGGCGGAGGAAACCCCCATGAGCATGGAGGTAGAATCAGCAAAGTCAGAAGCTGAAAGTGCTGGGGATGCTCTCTCAACCGTGGGATCCGTCATCAGTATCGGACAGTTTTATGACAGGGTGGAGGAAGAAAGGCTTCTAGCCTAAGTTTAAGCTGATGGTGCAGAGACAAGCCGGTAGACCAAGATCCTGTTTGCTCATCAGAAACGAATTCAAAGCACTAATTTTACCTAGTTTCAGCAATGAGGACATTGTGACGGTTATCGCATACATGGCGCATGAGGACGAGGTGGAACCACCTCCACTAATGCTGCGTGAGACCATAGCTGAAGCGAGGCGACGAAAAGTCGACATCATCATTGGAT